AGTATTCATTGACAGGTAGGACATTGCAATGTATGATTTTATATACTATACTTAGATTGGACCGAAGGCGGCGTAGTTCTAGTTTTTCTAGGTCTAGAATTTTGAGTCTGGTGGCATAAGGTATTCTGCAACTAGTAGAGGAGTGGAGAAATCTTCTTGTGAAATATTTCTGGACTTTCTCAACTGTATTAATATCAGATACGTAATGTGGGCTCCAGACTGATGAGCTGTATTCGAGTATTGGTCTAGCAAATGTTTTTTATGCTGTAGTTATTAGTGTAATATTACCAGAGAAAAAGCTACGTGAGATTAGGTTAACAACTCTTAATGCCTTTTTGGCTATGTAGTTACAGTGGGCTCTAGCACTTAGGTCATTTGAGATGAGTACTCCAAGATCTTTGACAGAGTTTGGATCATCAACAAGGTGTTGACTATTCAGCCTGTATTTTATTTTCTGGGTTTGTTTTTTTTGCCAATATGTAGGACAGAGCATTATTTGTTGAGATTTGAAGTTACCATTTGCTTGACCATTCTGATACATAGTCAAGGTCTTTTTGAAGGGTAGCAGTATTGTCTGTGGTGTTCAATAGCTTTACATCGTCAGCGAAGAGAACCCAGTTGCTCTTAATGTGATCACAGAGGTCATTTATGAAGAGTATGAAGAGAGTTGGTTCTAGAACACTGCCTTGGAGGATACCACTGTTGACAGGTACAGAATTTGATAGGACGCTCCCAATTTTGACCAATTGTTGTCTGTTTGACAGGAATGCTTCTACCCAGTTATGCAGGTGTCCAGAGATACCGTAAGGTTTTAGTTTTAGGAATAGTTTGTTGTGTACCACTGAATCAAAGGCTTTACAGAAGTCTATGTAGATTGCGTCTATTGCTTTGCCCTGATTGAGTTGTGTAGTCCATATGTTTTTGCAGTGTAAGAGTTGCAGATTACATGAGTTGTTTTTTCCAGAAACCAAATTGTTTATTAGAGAGTAGGTTGTTTGTTTCTAAGTGGAGGATGGTGGATTGGTTAATAATTGATTCCATGACTTTACAGGTGACACAGCATAAAGAGATTGGTCTGTAATTTTCAACTAGGCTGGGGTCTCCCTTTTTGAAGATGGGGATGACTGTGGCTTGTGACCATAGTTTTGTCAAGGAGCTGGTCCTGAAAGATTTTTCAAAGATTATGCTTAGAGGTTCGGCTATGGCAGTGGATAGCTTTTTTAAGAAGTAGGCACATATTCTGTCCAGTCCAATAGATAGAGATGGTTTTAGATTGCGTAGTGCTTTTTCAACATTGTCTTCTGTAAAATCAATATGTATTAGATCATTGTAGTTGTGGTTCAATTAGGAAATACCGGGCATGATCCATTGCTGTTTACAAATACTGAGCCGAAGAATGTGTTAAAGAGGTTGGCTTTAATAGTGTCGTCGTTGCAGTCTTTACCATTAGGTCCTTTCAGGGGTGGGATGGACCTTGAGTCTTTTAGTTTGTTGTTTATAAAATTGTAGAAAGCACGGGTGGAATTGGTGCATAGAAGGTTTTCCTTTTGTTTAATGTGATAATTGGTGCATTCAGTTTTTATCTGGTGGCATAAATTTTTGTACTGGCTTTTGAAGTTGGCAACGTGACCAGATTTGTTTTTCCGCCAAAGTGATTTCTTTTTGGATTGAAGCTTCCTTATTGTTTTGGGTAATTTGTTTTTTCTGGTTTTGGAAGTTGTTAATGGTACATATAGTTTGATGACTCTTTTGACTTCAAGTAAAAATATGTTGTAATGGTCTTCAACAGTATTGCATCCAGAGAATAGAAATTGCCAATCAAGGGATGAGAGATCGTTGTTTATATGTCTTAAAGCTGACGTTCCCACCAAGCCAGATTTGCTCCTGGATGAGATTTTAAGTCTGGTAAATGCTAAATGTCTTGTGCTTCTATAAATTCCCTTGTAAAAGAAGTCTTGCTTAACTCAAACTTAGACATACACAGCAAAACCAAGAGAAAGGCAGCTTAGAAAGAGCCGGTAACTCTTTCTAAATATCGTAAGAGAAATGTTTCCCAAAAGCACTTCAAAACATTGTAAAAAGGTTGGTAATGCAGATGTGCACGCAAAACGGTATAAAAGTCACTCTTTGATTGATACGTTCCTTTTTTTTAAAATAATACATTTTTTAAATCTAATATAAATACAAAACGTAGAGAAAACACTGTCTGTCGCTAGAGGGCGATAAAGGTCAGTAAAGCTGGCGATGAGGGAACTGTGTCAGCGAAGAGGGAACTGTGTCGGTAGCTGAAAGGAGTGGAAACCGTAAAGTATTAATTTGGTAGCGAGGACGCTGGAGAAGACGAGAAAGAGGGTAGAAGGACTTCTTCCGGCTCAGCCAATGTGAGTATGGTGGCGGTATAGGGGGCTCTAGTGCTCTTCCCAGGGTTGAAGCGGCTGCTGGAAGGTGAGTTGAAGAATCGGAGCAGAAATCAGGCGCAAGTCGGGCTGTTTGGCTTCCTTCACGGTGTAGGAAGCAGAGAAGCAACTAAGCTGAAACGCGTCGGCTGCTGCCTATTTTATAAATCAAACTCGGCTGGTGCTGCACGCTTTAAAAGCGACGCCTGCAATTTTCTGGTGGTTGGAAGATTTACAAAGTCTCCTTCAAGTTAGGTTTGACTCCTTGTGGGTTTTTTTGGGGTGGGGTGGGGGGGTGTCATTAACAGAGGAATACAATTCCTCTAGATAGGTCTAGATAGGTTTTCTAGACGTAGAAAAGCTAGAACTATGCCGCCTTCGGTCCGATCTAAGTATAGTATATAAAATCATGCATTACAATGAATACTTCAGCTTCAACCATAACAACACAAGAGCAAACAATAGATACAAATTCAAGGTTAATCGCACCAAACTTGATTGCATGAAATACGACTTCAGCAACAGAGTGGTCAATGTCTGGAATACTCTACCTGACTCTGTGGTTTCTTTGCCAAACCCCAAAAACTTTACCTTAGACTGTCTACTATTGACCTCAAGCCTTTGCTAAGAGATCTGTAGGGGGTGTGCATAAGCACACCAATGTGCCTACTGTCTTTTTTTTTTTTTCTTATATGTATCCATGTATTCATAACTGTGTTTTTACTTGTACCTATTATCTTGTAAGCAGTTAACAAAAATAAATAAATAAATAAAATAAAGATCAAGTAAGGTACTAATACCACTCTATAAAGCCTTAGTAAGACCAAACCTAGAGTATTGCAACCAGTTTTGGTCACCACACTAGGAAAAAGATGTTTAGACTCTAGAAAGAGTACAGAGAAGGGGACTGGAGACTAAAACATATGAAGAATGGTTACAGGAACTGGGCATGGCTAGTCTAGTGAAGAGGGGAGACTTGATAGCAGTCTTCCAATATTTGTGGGGCTGCCACAGAGAGGAAAGGGTCAAGCTACTTCCACAGCACCTGAAGGCCAGACAAAGAATAATGGATGGAAACTGAACAAGGAGAGATTTAACGGGGAAATAAGGAGACATTTTCTGACAGTGGGAACAATCAACCAGCTTTGCCTGTGGAAGTTGTGGGAGCATCATCACTTGAGACTTTCAAGAAGAGATTGGACTGCCATTTGTCAGAAATGGTGTAGGGTCTGCAGCTTGCGCGGGGGGCGGGGGACTAGATGACCTACAAGGTCCCTTCCAACTCTGATTATCCGTTATCTGTTTTCTTGGCAACAATATGAGGCTGATCTACTATTGCTCTCTTCTGGGTTTTTTTTTCTTTCTTACTTCCATGTCCAGCTAACAAACACTGGATTTCCCAGGGGTCCTCCATCTATGTATTCATCAGTTTCAAATGTGCTTAACCCAGCATTTTTTGAATAACTTTTGAACGCCATTTGGAATTTTCAGTTGTATACATAGTCCTACTTTACTATTTTTTTCCACCAACCCTTCAGAGATAACAGCGGCTCTGAACAAGGAGATTTACAACTTGTCCTCAAAAGTTGTGGCTATTGCAGTTATTTGAGTGCTGGCACTAGCTTGCAGTTACGACAGTGGTGGTGTCTCCCACAATCATGGAATTGCCACAACTGTGACCTTCACAGTTGGCTTCCCACAAACAAAGCCAATTGGGAAACTGACAGAAAGTTGCAAGTCATGTTACCTGACACATAACAACCCACAGTGATTTGCTTAATGAGCGCAGCTAGAACTGATGTTGTAAATTGGCACTCATGTGACATCATGCTTAATGACCACACTGTTTAGAAGTTGCCTGATAATAGTTGTGGTCAGTAAGTGAGGGCAACATTGTGCACAGGTACATTGTGATGGCATCTGAGGGCTTAAAGCCTCTCTAAAATTAGACCAAATATATTTTGAAAGAAACCATTGCATGTCTAGAAATGTGTGACTGACCTTAGTCAGCAAATACATTTCATGACTTGGGAGATTTGAACTTGGGTCTTACTAGATTTATAGGCTTATACAAACAGAAAATGAACCTTAAGTAATGTAAGAGGTTTTATTAACATTTTGTAATGTTTCCTTATTAATTGTAATTTATGATTTTTTTTATTATGTTGTCTAACCATTTTATAAACCATAATTAAACTAACCCTCTTATGTGAATCTTATAGACAAAGAGAATGCCAATCAGAGCACGCTGGACAACTGAGAGACACAAGCAGCATTGAAATGGAAAGCAAATGAAGCCAACAGTCAAAATAATTTCTATTTTCCCCCAGAAAACCAGAGACTTTTCTTCACTAATTTCCAAATTCAAAAAACATGGGATGTCAGTGGGAAGGAAAAAGTCACTTGGATAGCCATGTAGGGGAGACAGCACTACAGGCCTCATCTGTGTGGAAGAAAACAGTAGCTTGAATCAAAACTCCCATCTAACAAGGGATACAAAGAATTTTTAACTTCCTTGAGAATCCAAGAATGCCAATGGTGGAAAAACACCATAGATGTACATATTGTGGGGAAATCACAGTTGATAATACACCATGTATGAGTGTCCAGTTTGTGGGAAAACTTTCAGTCAGAATTCCAGGCTAATGATACACCAGTGGACACATACAGGAGACAAACCATATGAATGTCCAGAATGTGGGAAAGGTTTCCGTCAGAATTCCCATCTGGTGATACACCAGAATATTCACACAGGCGAGAAACCATACGAGTGTCCAGATTGTGCAAAATGTTTCATTCAGAATTGCGACCTGGTGATACACCAGAGGACACACACAGGAGAGAAACCGTATCAGTGTTTGGATTGTGGAAAATGTTTCATTCAGAATTTTGACCTAGTGATACATCAGAGGACTCACACAGGAGAGAAACCGTATGAATGCCCAGTTTGTGGAAAAAATTTCAATTGGAATTCGCACTTGGTGGTACATCAGCGGACTCACACAGGAGTGAAACCATATGTTTGTCCAGAATGTGGGAAAGGTTTCCGTCAGAATTCCCATCTGGTGTTACACCAGAAGATTCACACAGGCGAGAAACCATACAAGTGTCCAGATTGTGAGAAAAGTTTCATTCGGAATACTGACCTGGTGAAACACCAGAGGACTCACACGGGAGAGAAACCATATGAGTGCCTGATTTGTGGGAAAAGTTTCAGTCGGAATTCTCACCTGCTAATACACCAGAAGATTCACACAGGAGAGAAACCATATAAGTGTCTGGAGTGCGGGAAAGGTTTCAGTCAGAATTCCTCCCTGGTGATACATCAGAGAACTCACTCAGGAGAGA